TATTTTTGATATTTGACAAAAGTTCAAACTTTTTTTATAAACATTTGGGATGTGAGAGAGTAGAATACCACTCCATGATTCATCAACATTTGTAGCATAACATTGTTTCCTTTTGCTTGTGTTTGATTCCAACTTTGATTGCAGAATAGTGGATGAAATCCAGTAGCAATGTGCCTTGAGTCACAAGGAATTAACAGAATTTAATTAATTGTTCATTGAAATTATATAAATAAATAAAAGAAAGAGACAATTGGTTTTGATTAATACCAGTTACTATTGCTTGATTCGAGTTTTCTTGACAACTGTTTTAACTGAACTTCTGAAGGATCCTATATTGCATATTTGTATTCAAATATACAGAATGATATAAACTTAATGAAATGAACAACAAATTATAAATGTTTATATATTTTTTAATGAGAGAAAGAATGCAAATGAAATGATATAAAGATATGAACCTGTATCATTCCATTATTTAGAGCTATAATATCGAGTGTTCTTCCACTTGAAACATTCACCTGTTTGAAAAAATAATCTGGCTTCATATCCTGTAGAGCTACAGTAGTGTACCTACATTTAGAGTTTAATTGCAGCTAGAAAATCTTTTAATTGTTTTCTACTAAAATATCAAAAAAGATGAATGATAATATAACTACTGTATTAAAGAAGAAACTCAAAAGGGTGTTTCTCTTTTGCATTTTGCAAAGAGAGATTCTATGACTCAGATCCAAAAAAAAAATGTGAAAATGCTAATAAGTGTTTAAGAGATATATTTGATATACCATGGAGCCTTCAAATGGATTGAAATATTGTGTTGCCTGTGAAAAAAATGAAATTATAAGACGATTTCGCTACTTAAAATCAAAGAGAGAAGAGTTTTACTTTAGCAGTTGATTCTCAAAAGAAATTTTGAAGTTAGATCTTACATTTTGTAAGAGTGGATCATCTTCACCAAGCTCACTGATGTTAATCACAAATCCCACCTTATAAGTATTCATCACCTTCTCTATCTTCATAACAAAAGAATTCAAAATTGAACATGTTAAAATTGGAACTATAAGCAATTAAATTGAAATGCTAAACTGCTCGATAATGTAAAAACACCATTGTAACTTCAATAGCTTTGACGCTGAAACTGGTGCTTCGTTAAGAGCATTGATAAGCTGATTTAGAAGGATTAGAAATTGACTTGACTAACAGCATTAATAAACTGAAAGGGGCAAAATCCACAGATCCCACAAAAAAACCGAAGCTAAAAACACATCAGGAACTGACAACTCGAGTTCTAATTAGCGTAAACAAGTTTTATTGATGTAATGTAAACCAATAAGTACAAAAGTGTAGAAACGTATTGAGGAAGAACTCTGAAAGTCATTATAGCCATTTCAACTATAAATGAAGAAAAATTACCTGTTTAAGAAGACGGGTTTGTTCTTTGGGAGCTCTAAATCCACCACGAACTGAAATGAAGTAAATCTCACTGAATTGACGATGAATTCGAAGGCGATAAGTGGGCGTTTGAGGCTCACCGAAGTTGATGGCATAGTAGAGAGCAAAACAGAGGGCGAGCTGTATGATTACAGTACAAACCCATGATTTTTTCTCCATTTTTGCTTCAGAAACATAAGAGATCTTCAAGTCACGATATCGTGATCTGAGTTATTGATAATATAGATGCCACCTGAGGACGTAAACTTAGAACGTGATGGATGTGACTTGTGAGAGGATACATACGGATTTTAGATAAATACAGGGATACGATTGAAACAAGTGAACCTAAAAGGCTAAAATAATGGCTCCATGATGTAAATTCTGCCTCATTGTGAAGTGGCTCTTCAATAAGAACATTAATGTGTAATAAAGTACAGGATACGACAATTCATTTTAGTAACTTATTTTCCTCCTCATGGATATAAAAAAGGTAACTTACTAGAAAAATCAATAATTTCTATTATAGTAATTGAAAATTTTATATTTTTTGATGTATCCTACTTATATTTATCTAATTTTATTAGCATTTTACTCATATAAAAATTTAATCCTTACACTTGCTTTCTTGAGTTGGCACAAATGTAGCAAGTCACTAAATGCAAAGTCAACTATTAGGTGTTTGAGATTGCTTATTTAGGTGTTTGGGATCTGAGAAAAACTTGTTGATTTACTGACTTTTCAAAAAGTTAATGTCTAAAAAAAGACTTTGCTAAATGGATAAATGCTTACGAAATAGATTTTCAAAACACTCAAAAAGTTGATTTTAAAAATTAATAAATTCATGACTCTTAAAAAATGCTTATAGCTTTTCATCTGAAATAACGTTTAAATTATTATAATCTAATTCAAATATTTTTTAAAAATAGTTGTCAACTTATAGTTTCTTAACACTACAAGTTAATCCAAACATTTTAAAAAAAAATTATTACCACATAAGCTAATAAACATTATTTTTTATCATAAAAACAGTTTATTGAATGACGTAAGCAATGACGTATAAAACCATTATTATTGAAGACATTATTGGAGACACGCGTCCTTTCGTTGTGGAATGATGTATTTTATAATTTGTATATTATCTTATTTGTTGGTATTTGTCGTTATCGGTAGAACACATGTCATGTATCGCTAGGTTACATATCATGTGTCATTAGGTGTCTAGAATATGACATAAAGTTTGTAAGATGTGAGATAAAGTGTGTAACCCTTCATAGTCTAGGGGCTATATTGTAAATATGTATGTCGTATTGCAATCATACGATTGCAATTCAATTATGTAACCGTCTCTCTTGAGTCTATAAATAGGGCATTTGTCCGTATGGAATAAACAAGAGTTTTTTGAGTGTCTAAGACTTGAGTTGAATCTCAAAGTTCTTTCTCTGTTGAAATAGTTTGTCTATTTCTGAATAGCAGAGCCCTCTGTTGAAATAGTTCGTCTATTTCTAAATAACAGAGCCCTATCCAAACTATTCATAAAATCCAACCAATCCATCATCAATTAAGAACATCATCAAGCGATCATCCCGACGCATCACCCCCCCCCCCCCCACAAACCATCTTGTATATTTTTAAATGTTTATTAGCTTATCTGTGTTAAACAATGGATTTTAGAAAAAAAAAATGTTTGAATTAGATTATCACACATCAATAAGTAATAAGTCAATAAGTTGTTTTTCTAATTTGTTAAATTTTGTTTATACATATCAAATGACCGAAAATAACATCTTACATATTATTGATTTCTTTTTTTTAGTATAGTTTTATCTTTTGTCATATTATAATAATATTTTTTAAGATTATTAATATCATTAACATTAATTTTTTTTTTTTGCAAATCTATGAATATTTTTATAAGATTTAAAAATATAAAATAAAATGTTCAACCTCAAATACCAATGAAATTTTCTAATTTATTGTTACAAAATGATATCAATATCATCAAATAAAATATTTTTAAGAAAATATCAAATATCAATAATACATCAAAAACAACCCAAACCCAAGACGAAGACGATGAAGAGGCCATTCCCAAAACCCAACCCCAAGCTCAAGCATCTCGACCAAAGCACAAGTTCAAATGCAAGGAAGAGGTTGTATTAGCAATCGCCTTCATCGACACCTCGAAGGATCCCATAACTGGTTATGTGCAAAAGTCAAAATGTTATTAGGACCGCGTTACAAATACATTTTACAATATAATGAACAATAGATAATATCGCACAAAACACCAAATCAACACAAAATGGATGGACTTGCAACGAAAGGTGTATAAGGGCCCGTTTGATAGTTGATGTGTAACATCCCGATGTTGAGGTATTTTCAATTGTAACCCTATGAATGAATAATTATTGCATTTTAGTCCTTGAGTATAAGAAAGAGTGCAAAATGGCCCACAATGGCATTTTGGTGATTTTGGACAATGAGGTAGTACGTTGGGCATACGTTGTGTACGTTGAGCGTACTAGGGCGGACCCTATTATGTTAGGCGTACACCAGTAACGCAGGGCGTAACGTGGAGACCTCCAACCATAATTTTTAGGGTTTGGGTCCATATATAGCATCATTATAGCCTCGTTTATCATTCCCCATTAGCCCCCGTCTGAGAAAACCCCCCTAAAAAACCAAGTTGAGAAGAGTGCATTTGAGCTCATTTGTGTGCTTTGGGGTTGTTCTTAAGAAGAAGAAGTTGGTGCAGGACCTTGGAGCTTGGGAGAACTTCAATATGGGATTCTTCACTTATTAGCTACCTCCAAAAGGTAAAAAAGCTCCTTGCTTGATCACCCTACCTTGTAGATCTAGCCATTTCTTCATTTATGGCACTTTTGGTCCCAAATATGGTGATTCTTGAGCATAGAATGCTTTTGACCAAATAAGTCGTCCCTTCAGACCTTATGAGGGGTCTTAAGTCATAAAAATGTAGTCTTGGTGCTTAGTTTTCCTCTATGCATGCTCTGGAATGTCTTAAGGCATTAAGAAGTTGGGATTTTGTGTATTAAGCACTTAATGGACATGAAAAGTCAAAAAGTTGGAAACTTTATGAATCTTAGTGGTAATTTAGCCTTGGATCTGAAAGTTGGACGTGAGAGCTTAACGCATTAAGCTCTTATTGAGAAAATGGAAAGTCTGACTACGAGCCCGACTTCGGTCAAAGCTCGAGTATGCCCTGCATACGAGCCCTGAGTTGACTCGGATAGGTTGACTCGGCTAGGTTGACTCAGTTGACTTGTTGATTTTGACCAGTTTTGACCAAGGGTATTTTGGGGCAATATTATTAATTTAGAATGGGAAATGGTTTGACATTTGGGATTTACGTTGACCCATTTGTTGGAGCTGGGAGTTATTCAGACTACATTCAGACTGTGAGGTGAGTTTTCCCTATTGGACTTACGGGTCGAAGGCACCAAGGCGGGCCCATTGGATTGATATCCTGGTTTTACTGTATGTTGTTATGTTGTGGTGATCTATTAGATCTGTATCCTGGTAGATAGGATGTTGTTATGCTGTAATGATCTATTAGATCTGTATCATGTTATATAGGATGTTGTTATGCTGTAGTGATCTGTTAGATCTGTATCGTGGTATATAGGATGTTGCTATTGTTGGATTAGGTGTCTAAGCCCATAACTATTATTGGTATTTACTTGACCCGAGAGTAGCATTGTCCATTTAGGTTGCATATCATCAGGACAATTTGATAGGATGGACCTTTGAGAAGAGGTTATTTATGGTTTATTAATATATTATAAGTTCTAATATATTAATATGAAATCATATTAGTATTGATCAAGAATTAATTTGGATTTAATTTTGTGATCAAAAGAGACTAATTAAATATATGGGGATTGATTATGTAAATCATTCATTCTTATAATGTGGCTTATATAGCCATAGTTCTTTATGTTGGGCTAACCCCATGTGGTGACCCATGGATGATCCATGGAGGTTAAACCCATGGATCATGAGGAGTATGGAAGTCATGCACATTAGGGTTTGCATGGTGTAACCCCTACTTAGCCACACTCTCAGAAGCCCATAACTCATGAAATCGGCTACACATGTGTTCTTTGGAAGAGCTAGCCGAATTTGAGTACAAGACACCTTCTCTCAAGTTATCCTTTGTCCTAGGGTTGTGTGAGTCCATTTGAGGCATTCACATTATTGGTGCTAAGTTCTTAAAGGTCCAAGGTTTCTAGCTACAACAAAAGGTATGTCATCTAACTAGAATTTTGTAGTAAAGAGACTCCATTGTATGCTAGTTAGGATGATGCTTTGGAAAACCAAAAGTTTGCATGTATATTAGAGAAAACATAGATCCAAACCATCTAGGGTTGCATGTACACCATAGGAGTGTTAGAATGCTCAAAACCTATCAGTGGTATCAAAGCCTAGGGTTGTTTTCCAATATACTTGATGCTACTTGTTTTCGAAGCTTGAAAAATCGATTTTCTGTTGTCTGGACAGTGGACTCGCCGATTCCACCCTATAAACAGACCAACTCGCCGAGTCAGTTCATGCACTCGACGAGTTGGTGCTCCTAGATGTAGATTTTCGAGTTCTAAGGCTGGAATTGGACTAGGATCATTACCCTAAACTGTTTTTGAACTTATAAACCCGTTTTTGATGTGGTAATGATCATGCTTATCCAATTTATAAGATAATTGTCAAAGTTTCATGTTTTGTATTAGTTTATATGGTTAGGTTAATTACATGAAATTTGTTTGATATGAATTGTCTTGTTCTTATGAGTTTAATTTAGATCATAGACAAATTTTTGATTTTCTTGTTAGAATTTTTGATCTAAATGGTTTTGATTAATTCCATAACTTGTCCTCAAGTTATGGAAACTGAAAAGTTTTTTTTTTTACTTTTAAAGAGACCATTAAAATCATAGGTTATGAAGTTGAAGAGTCTTTTTCCCATAAATGGTTTTATGAACTCCATAACTTGTCCTCAAGTTATGGATTTTCAAGAGTTTTTTTCATTAAAACATATATTAAACTCATAAGTTATGAATTTGAAAAGTTTTGACAAGTTTCAAAACTTGCCCTAAAGTTTTGGAATTTGTAAAGTTTCACCTTTTGAATACTTTAGTTCCAAACCCTAGAGTTTTAAAAGTT